GCCAAATCAAGAGGCCATCACGGGCTGGACTCCAAGGATCGATGAATAGATGAGTTACACTCACAACAAGCAATCTATTTTTGTGTAAATAATAGTTTGTTGTACATGAAAAGAATACCCCTTGTACTCCATATTTTTAATCAATATGTGTTTCTTCACCTTTCAAAAAAAAAAAAAGTGTCATAGGTGCAATAATAAAAAGAGATTTAAAAAAAAAAAACGAGTCATAGAAAAAATGTTGTCATCACTTTCCAAACAAAAATTAATTTAAAAAATCCCGTAAAATATTTAAAAATATTATTTTACACTCTAGGCCGCACGCACTATATTTAACTCTCTTTGCATTCACCTATTGTGACCCATTGGTAGTCACTGCAACTCAACAGGTGTACCGGTGGATTGCACCGTGATCAGTTATCGAACATTGCCAAGAGTAAGATACTAACCTAATTTCTAACCTCTAACCTCTAACCTCTAACTTCTAACTTTTAACTATTGCGCTTGTCAAAATATATATATATTTCACTCTTTAAAAAAAATAATAATAATAAATCAAGGAAAACAGGATTTCAAGTTTTAGACTTGCTTATTGTATTGCTTGCAATGTACAGGCAAATCAGACCCAATAATTTTGGCCCAGCCTAAACGAACACCCAACCCATGAACATGAACAGGAGAAAAAGAAAAAAATGTGGCTGCTGGTGCAGGATACCTCTGCACAAGTGGAAGCCAGCACACGAGTAGCGTAAAAATTAGGACTCAGCGGAAGCAGGAAAATGAAATGGACTGTTGGAACATCCTGTCATCTTCTGTCTTTTTTAACAAGCGAAGAACCTCCTCCCACCAAAGCATATACCATCCCGTTTCTCATTTCTCCCCCCAAATCCCCCCCCAAAACAATTTTCTGAAATTTCCTGTTAATTAACGAGGTAAATAAGATAAAATAAATCAACGAAAACTACTTTTTCTTTTCTTTTTTTTTCAATTTATTTTGGTTGGTGTGATCTACCGACCTGTGTTTTCTTATAGTTATGGAGGAGCTGTCCATCATCAGGACTTTTGCTTTTCGTAATTTTGAAGGTTTATTTCTGTTCTGATTCATTATTTTTATTGGAAGAAGTTTCCATTTTTCGAAGTTTCCATTTTTCGACCATTTTTGAGGCTATAAATACGAGCCTCTGATATTCGGCATTTGTGTGAGGGATCGTGCAGAGTCATTAGGGTTTTAGTGATATTCTCTGATTTTTGTCGAGGTCTTGCTTCTGATTTCAGATTCTGATCTAACATCAAAATCATCTTTTTGTTTTCGAATCTGTAAAAGATTTGATCTTCATACATCTCTGAGTTCGCAATCTTTCTGTTTTTGTATTTAAGCTTGAATTGAAGTTGTAGAACTGTATATGTATTTGTAGCATATCTGATTGAATGCAAATCTGTTGCAGATAGAGTAGAAGAAGAGGAGATCTGAGCAATGGCGACGGATTCATCGAACGGAGAGCATCAAACCACCACAAAACCACCACCATTGCCTTCTCCATTGCGCAATTCCAAGTTTTTTCAGGTTCGTGATTTTGTTTCTAGTTCAAGAATCTGTTGTTTGTTCGCATTATGGAGCTTTCTGTGTCCTCCTTTTTTTCTTCTTTTTTTCTCCTCACGCTAATTATTACGTGATCGTGATGTTTTTCATGTAGATAGCCGTCTCTGTTTGTGACTTGTAGTGAGTTTTTTGTTTGCGGAATTTGGATGTTTTCTTCCTGTTGGTTTACAGTCATTAATGTGGGGGCAGAAGATGTATGATTCTATGTTCCGCAACACATGAAAGATCTCACACAGTCTGGAAATTTAATGTGCTGTGTGAAATATGTAGCAGTATTAATATTTTATTTTATTTTATTTTTGATCTTATACTATAACCGCAGTTAAAGTTATTTCAAACCTGATGAATCTGATCTCATTGTTTTCATTCTTCGTGGATCTGTATATTGTTTGCTAATAACTTGATTTAGAAACTTGCAGTTAGACTGCAGATTTTTATTAAAGTTGTTTTTGGATAATTCTGAAATCAATTAATCATGATTAATCATCTTCCTTGATTTGTAGAATTTTCTTTTTTCTGACTGAAGACTATAAATCTCAACATATTAGTGAGAGCCATATAAGAATAAAGATTTCTGAGAAATGATTTGAGATCTACTGCAAAGGGTCCATTTTCGCTGCTAAGCAGGTTTTTCTTGTCTGGAAATAGAGGTTATGTATGTTGTGCAAAGGAATTAAAGTTTGGAGATACTTTGTTTTGGTTATATATATGGTCTTAAATTTGTGTCGTAATAGGAGATCTTGCCTGTCTTATGGTTACCTTGCTTTCTGCATTATCACCAGCCTTTTGCTTTCCTCTCCATTTTTAGTCTATACTTATTCGTGTTTTGGAACAAAAGATGAATTTTTCTCTACTTTCTGGATTGCAATGTGTTGCTTATCATGCTGATGCATTCCCACAAATTCATTTCATGCATGCTTTGATCTATGTGCCTGTCAATAACGTCTGTGACTGTTTATGGCAGTCCAATATGAGAATTTTGGTTACTGGAGGGGCTGGATTTATTGGTTCTCACTTAGTAGACAAATTGATGGAGAATGAGAAGAATGAGGTTAGTCTATTGCTTTACCATATCCATGCTGTCATGCTGAGTTTGTTGTTTATAGATTATTGGGAGAAGATGATTGCATTGCATGGTTAGTGTGAGGTTTTCTACTTTAATACTCAGGTAATTGTTGCTGATAACTACTTTACTGGATCAAAAGACAATCTCAGAAAGTGGATTGGTCATCCAAGATTTGAGCTCATTCGTCATGGTAATTTGAATATTTCCTTGCCACAAAGTGATTTAACTGGGAATAAATTATCATGATATAATCACAAGCAATATTACGTTGGTAATTTTAATATTATTTTGTTTCTACTCAAATTATGTTCTTCATAACTGTCAACCATTTTTATTGAACTTGATGTGGTTCAGAAGTTTTTACTGTTGATTTAGATTGAAAAACCCATTTTATCTTTGTGTTTTGCATTTTTGTAGATGTGACCGAGCCACTATTGATTGAGGTTGATCAGATTTACCATCTTGCATGCCCTGCTTCACCAATTTTCTACAAATACAATCCTGTAAAGGTAATCTTTTATCAACATGATCTAATATTCAAGTCATTCTTATTGTTTACTGTATTCTTAATCTTGGCATGTTTTAGAATTGGGCTTATATAATGGGATGTGATACTTGTGTGCTTATGCTTTGAAACATTTAGTTGATCACAACAAATTACCTGACTTGGAACCCTATAATATTCTGCAGACAATAAAGACAAATGTGATTGGCACATTAAACATGCTGGGACTTGCTAAGCGTGTTGGAGCAAGGTTAGCAAGGCTGTCTCTGTGTAATTACTTTTGGCCCCATTCTTATGCTAGTTTTACTCAATTGTGGTACTTCTTGAAGGATCTTGCTTACATCAACTTCAGAGGTGTATGGAGATCCCCTTGTACATCCACAGCCCGAGACCTACTGGGGTAATGTTAATCCAATTGGTAAGTTCTTTAAGTTCACAACCAAACTATTGGATGTGTTCTTTTTGAATATTGCATAAATTGCTATGATACTCCTTGTACATATGTGAGCTTGCTCACATTTGCCTTTTCACTCTCATTACAATTTTTGTCATGGTTGTTTGTTCTGTTTACATTATTGAAATGTGGCAAATTCATGGGAACAAAATCTTAGCCCCAAATGCCTTATTATTTTGATTATAGGGGTACGCAGCTGCTATGATGAAGGGAAGCGTGTGGCTGAGACACTGATGTTTGATTACCATAGGCAGCATGGGATTGGTAAATTTGTTGCTTTATTTATATTAATGAGCTTATCCTTGTTATTAATAATTGTCCCCTTAACTTACAAGCTCCTCTTTATCTTTGTCATAGAAATTCGCATTGCTAGAATCTTCAACACATATGGGCCACGGATGAACATTGATGATGGTCGAGTTGTCAGCAATTTCATTGCTCAAGCACTTCGGTAAAATCCCTGTGCTTCTTCATATATTGATTAGGGCATGCAGTCAGCTCTACTTTTAAACTTATTTTTCCTCAAACATCATGCCCCATACAAGACTTTACTCTCCCCCTACTTTTCAGTTGCCTCACCTTGATTAATTGTCAATTTTCACTTTTCCTTTCATCCTCAGTGGGGAACCATTGACAGTCCAGAAGCCTGGGACACAAACTCGCAGTTTCTGTTATGTCTCAGACATGGTATGCAAGATATACAATTCCATGCAACCATAATGCACTATTATTTTCATTATATCAGAATTATTCAAGCATAATCATTTACCTAAAATTGTTTAGGTTGATGGACTCATTCGTCTCATGGAGGGGGAGCACACTGGTCCAATCAACATTGGAAACCCAGGTTATAACTTATACTGCAAACTGTGATGTGCTTTCATTACATTTTTAATAGGGAACTTGGAATTTATAATGCAATCATTCAGTTATTTACCTGTGACATGTTTCTTATGCTTTCAGGTGAATTTACTATGCTTGAACTTGCGGAGACAGTGAAGGAGGTCAGTTTTCATTACACTGGAGTTCTTTTCCCACCTTTCAGTCTAACAGTCTCTCTAAACTTCTCACTTAGCTCTTCAGTATCCCATAGTTTTTATTCTGAGTCAAAAATAAAAAGTCCAGTGAGCTATAATCCATGCCTTGGTGTTCAACTCTAAAAAGAGAAGTGGTTCGAGGGGAAACTCACAAGAGGGAATTGAAGTCTTTGACAACTTATGAGCATGTTATTCTAAATGATTGATGATGTTGTGTTTTCAGCTGATTAATCCTGATGTGGAGATACACATGGTAGAGAACACTCCCGACGATCCACGTCAGAGGAAGCCTGACATCACAAAGGCAAAAGAATTGCTAGGTTGGGAGCCAAAAGTCAAGTTGCGCGATGGTCTCCCCCTAATGGAGGAGGACTTCAGATTGAGGCTTGGAGTCTCCAAAAAGGCGTGAATGGCTTCTTCTGGTTCTGGAGTTAATATAAAAGGTGTTTATCGCGGGGATGTGACACAATAGAGGACTGCCTGTCATACCCTGTTTAAAAGCTTGTAGCTTGTCTCATTATTTCTTTGCCATATCACACAAAATAAAAGATTAAAGATACTGATAAATGTATAACTCTTTGTTATTGGGAGTTCATTTAGAGAACACGAGTTGTCTCATCGCCCCGAATTTTGTTGCAAAAATGTATTGATAAAAATGTATTAATGTTATGCATTTACATGCGAGAAATATAGATGTTCGCCACGGGAACCATCCAATTTTTGCACTCCGAACACGAGTTGTCCTATGCTCATCAATCAACCTATTTTACTCCCCTGGCTGGCTATTTCAGAATAATAAAAAATGTTCTTTTGATTTTTTCTATAAATTAAAGATTTTAGGATTTTTTTTTTTTTATAAAGAAAGTATTGGATTAGTGAGTTAGTATTTGTTTAGAGTCAGAGTCAAATCAAGGATCAGGCAAATTTTACTTATAACTCGTGGAGTAGCGTGGTTCATCCATTAGATCATATGGAAGAGTTCAGAAATAATTTTTGTTCTTACTTATGTTACTTTTCAAAGATAGACAAATGATAAATGTTAAAGTTAAGAAATAATAAAAATATATATTAAAAAAAAAAAGGCAATCAATAAGAACTTAGTCAGAAGTCAATTATTATCATTAGACAAAGGTATTAATTGTGAGTGTTAGTAAATTCAAGGTTTATGTCCTAACGTTATTTATGAATTCAATATACACAATCCTATTCTATAAAGAGTTCATATCTCAGTAAGATTAGATTGTTTGTGAAAAATTTATCCTAATTTCAAACAAAGACTATTGAGTATATTGATTAAATTGTTTCTTTGATACATTTAATTCAAAATTCATTAAAAATAACTATAAAAAAAAAAGAAGAAAACAAAAAAACTTGCAAGCGACCTTGTGGCTTTGTGCTTCAAAAAACAGAACTCCTAATCTCCTATAACATTCCGAGTGAAAAAAAAAAAAAAAAACGTTGCTCCTCCTCTCAACAAGTGGAGCCCCATTTATGCGTTTTGCGTTTCACGCTTGTAACTGGATCTTTTGATGTTGGGTCACTGGCCCATTTAAAACCGCAGACTCGATCTCGATTGAGTTTCATTGTGGCCACGGCGTATCAGTCCAGTTCAAGAAGCCCAACCCAACAGCCACTATTCCGCAGAGCTCTCCCAAAACCGTCTGATCCTTCTACCTAAAGACGAAATCAACGGCTACAAAAAAATCTATCACCTTAAATTTCACATTACCGCAGCTAGTTTGTCACCAACGCGTTGCAGACAAAAGCGAGGAAGAGAGACTCAGAGTTACAACTCGGAAAGACGAGCAAAGGAAAGATGAAGAGGTGGTTCGATCCATGGCCCGTTTTCTTCAAGCGAGAATGGAACCGCAACTGGCCTTTCTTGGTCGGATTCGCCATCACCGGAACCATCATCACCAAGCACTCTCTCAGCCTCACTGGTACCGTCGCTCCCGATCCGATGACAGACTTATTTGTATAGGGATGTCTATATATGCTTATCAATGTTACTGATAATTTATTCTTAATTGATTTGCAGAGGCACAGGCCAAGGAGTCGAAATTCGTTCAGAGGCATAACAGGTGAGTAAACCCTAAATACCGAGTTTTCGCTGTTCATTTCTATTAGTATTTGATTTCTTTTTTTTTCTGGAATTGTAATCGTAAATTAGCATTGTGTGTTTGATTCATTCAATGGATATCGAAAAACAAGATTGGTGGAATCAAATTCATTTCTATGCAACAGTTTAAATATCTTTCTTGACTTTGAAAAACTGTTTAGAGAATAATCCTTTTAAGACATTTTTAAATAGCAATGTACTGCACTTTCTTAGGAATTAAAGTCAAGGTTTGTAGTATCATGGGTGATCTGCAGTGATCTGTTATTGATCCTATTAGCATTTCATTCAGGTTTCTTTCCATCTGTTTAAGGTGTTAGTTATGAAGACTAAAAAGTAGAAACAGCTTGTTAGGAGATTTAGCCTCTTGTTTTCATTCGTAACTTTCCAAATTTTTTTGAACAAATTCCTTTCCTTTTTTCACCATATTTTGTGGAAATGTTTTGTGCATCAGGCATTTTCCCTCAATATATATTTGGGATTTCAAGATTTTGATATCTTTTTGATTAGTTGTATGACAATGAATTACAAAGATGATTTTTCTAAGTGCCACTTGGGGTGTTTAAGAAGATTACTGCTTGTACTTCCGTTACCTTTTCTTTCTTCTTCTTCTTTTCATTCTTCTTCCTTTTTTTTTTTTTTTATTGGTTCTAATTTGTCACCCAGTTGTTTCTCAAATCTTTACCTTTTATCGTTTACTTGTTTAGTTTTAGTCTTGATTTCCTTAGTTGATGCTGCAGATGGTATGGGATAGAGAACTTTCTTGTATCTTTTCATTGTCTACCATGTGATTTTACAATTAACAAAAAGAAAAAGGAGAAAAACCTCTTACATATGTACTTAATCTGACGGAAGGCATGATCCATCCATCCATCCTCCCTTTTAACTTATCGATAATCAGA